CCCCCCCCCCCCCCATTCATTGAAAATACTAAAATCCGTCCCCTTCGACTGTGCTTATACTGTATCTCGAACGGGGAGTCTCTCTTTCAGTGTATGTGATTGCATATTTCCTCGTCAAGTATAACAGCCCAAAAACACAAATGACCTGGTAGTAAACAGCACACGGAAGGTATGCATAAAGCTCTGCAGTGCCGCCGTACCTCGCAGGTCTCGAACTCCGCTCCTTTCCACCCCAACCCTCTGCTCACGTACGAGCCCTTAGCCTTGAGCTCCATCGCGAGCATCTCCAGTGCCCCTAGCCCGCGCTTCTCCATGCTCTCCTTGAACTCCTTGAAGCCGCGGAACGGAGAGTGCTCTCCCCACAAGCCCAGCCGCGTCGCATACGCCAGGTTCCCTGGAGTACGTAGCATGTTGGTGGGGCCAAGCAACTGCCGTTAGCAGACATACCAAATGTCCGTGTGTTGTGCTCCACTACATAGTATTGAGAACGTATTGTTGTGCGTCTGTGGCAACAAGAATCATGAGTGACCAACCATTGCAAAATCGTTGGTGTGGAGAAGGCATTTCGTGGCTGGTGGTCTAAGTGAAGTCATGCGAGAGAAAAATTCCCGAGAACGGTATCTATTACCGGGATTTTCGTCTCATGACAAAGTACACACAATCAAAGCGAGGCTATTGGTAATACTATTCGATCCGTTTGCGACAGTAATGCCGCGTCCGAAGGCATGCGTTGAAGTATTTACGGTGAGGCTTCAGGGATACCTGCTAGTGGTTTCTGTCAACATTCGTCAACATACCGTACATCACATCAAGCTGCTCCGGACCCTACACTCGGTGGCCCATGTCTCTCCGGCACACACCATGATAATCGTACCTACAACGGTAGTGGACGTGGGTACATGCGTTGAAGCCACTGCTGCATGTTCATGTCTACGTGTAAAACCGTCTCTTCTCGCGAATATTATCCTTTGGGACCAAACTATTGCCGTCGGTGACATGACGTAAGATACCACACCCGCTGGACCGATTTTCAAAGATCGATCACTCCACGACGAAGAGCATGCGCACATGCAAGGGTACGTTTTCGCAGTCTCCCCTGTTTCTGCTGTGGAGAAATCAAGCCTTGAAAGCGGTCCCGGGTCTGTGCTGGGTAACCTGGTCCTCCTGCGAGCTGTGAGGTCCACACCGGTTCTCCTAGTTGTTCTTCGTTGGCTTCATCAAGTCGCGTTTCGACAGATAAGCACGCATACCTCTGTCTCTTTGTTGAACAGAGATCGCCGTCCCCTATCTCGACGACATTTCCAATTCGACCACTCACTAGGAGAGAGAAGCCCCCCCCCAGCCGAGACTGTTCCACCCCTCCTCCCGAATTCGGTGCCTAGTCTTATCTCCGGCTTCTCCCGTTCGTTGGGAACATAAACGTTGAGAGATCGGTCAAAACTGGTACCAGTACTCGGTGGTGTACCTTGCACCTTGCGTCACCCCCTAGATATATTAGATATATTGCCCTTTTTAGAACATACACCCAACAAAAGACATACCGATGTCGGTCACCCCTGTGGCGGAGCAGTATACCACGCGCGCCTTGGGTAGCATGTCCTATAGCGTGGGGAGGGGGCATCGTAGAAGAGAGGACGGAGGAATGAGGCGCAACTCGTGAGGGATCAAGGGAGTCTTGCTTGAGGCGAAACGGCAATTCATGCTCTAGATACATCGTTATTATGGCGAGGGCAACACCAATGCTACCACTACGAAACACTTCAGTGAAACGAGACTCACACAAAAACACCTACAACCACCACCGCAAAAACGCTCTGTCATCATCACCAACTGCCATGGCCCGTCACCGCCACCGCCCTCTCCATCACGTATTTACCTGAGTGTTAATGACCAACTACCATGACCACCATCACAATGACCACCGCCCTCTCCATCACGTATTTACCTGAGTGTTAATGACCAACTACCATGACCACCATCACAATGACCACCACCATCTCCATCACGTACTCGATGTACATACCTGAATCTTGATGACGGCCTGGGACACCTTGGTAGACAGCTCCTCCTTTGAGGTGTTAAAGTTTTTGGCCTTGTGCGCCTCGTCAAACACCAAGCAGCCCTCGAACTCCTTCCCTCCGCACCTACATCACACCACACGGAAAACATTCGGCATCTTGGACTAAATGGTACTTGCACGTCGACATGAAGCAACAATGAAATATCCACGCATGGAATCTATATGACATATGATATTCATTGAAAACATGTGTGCAACCTAGAAATCTCGCTCCTACTAAGATGCATGCACGCACGCAGGGAACACAAGAAATAAGTGACTGCATCCATTCGGAGTATACACAAGCTCACATGTACGCATATGACACACACAAGCTTGTCCTATTCCAAGTACACACTCGGAGAGAGAGAGAAATATAGCATGAGGAACGTGTCGCTCACAGGCGTGGTCAACATATTTCGTTCTCAGTAGGCATATGCATGATAGATAGAGAAAACGTAGGAAATACAACAGAAGGATGCTACGAACACAAAACCCATCCAATTGCATCCATACACTACACACATTAAAATCATAAACCATACGTACGAGTCCACAAGGCACGTACACCAACTGTGCCAACCACACAAAATACTAGGTATCATGTAAATGCACATTAGTTCTATTATAGTGCACTGCGCCACACACATCTTTCACACATTACGTGAATGCATAGCAGCTAATCTACTGCACTGCCACACACAAACATCGACGTTCACCAGTCTATGAGCTGGTCGAGGCGAGTCTTCTTGCCGACGGCGTTGGACCGTCCGCTGGCGAGCGTGCTGTACGTGCTGAACAGGCACCCGTGCTTGGAGCTACTGGACATGCCGAGGCCCTTGCTTGACGCGGCATCCAACCCCTGCATGCACCACACGGACAAATGTAACAATAGGAAGATAACGGCACGTTTTTCGTTTGCTGCTGCTTGTGCTTTTGGCCGACTGACTCAACACCTGGTTTTTCATGGAGCATTCCGGCGATCTCTCCTTCGTCGACAAAGAATGCTCGAGCTGGGCACACAACAAGCACACCGCAAACGCAGTTTGCCCGCCCTCAGCAGTTGGGAATACCGCTTCCATGAGATGCTTAAACGGCGCTTAAACATGGCTCTGCCGATTCAGCAGAATTTAGCAAAACATTCACACAAGGTAGGCAGGTAGGTAGGTAGGTGGGTAGAGATAGATATATACAAGTGCACTAGACTACTTGTTGCTGTCAAGACTC